AGAGACCACATGACATTAGGTTGGTGCAAACAACTGTGGCTACAAGACTACATTTTGGCATTAGCACAGAAACACATACGGCATTTTACCAACATTTATGGAAATCAGTCAGCAGTTGTTCGTATCTCGGGGAACTGCTGTACTGTGAAAATGTGTGTCTAACTGTCAAAAACCTGGGAATATCACATCAACACTAGGTGCTGAATATTCTTGTCATTATATTTAAGTCTTATTGTATGTCTGAATTTTTGAACTTTTTACACACGACTTTCTTTATCTGAATATTTACGATTTAGCGATATGATGAGGCATTGCTAGTTCACGTGAAACTTGATCGTAAAACTTTTCTTTCACTTTCCTCTTGTAACAGGTCACACTAGCCATGCCCTGCACTGATGTTTCTAGCCCCTTACTTCCATCATGCTGTCATTACCCCCCCACTATGACTGTAACTCTTGCAGTGCGTTCTGCTCCATTTACTAAGCCTGGCCATTACAATGTAGCTCAAAGCTATTGGTGTCACACTGCTCCGTATTGACAGCCTGTTATTCTTTGTTTGACCCATTAAAACTACAGACACCGTCATGCAGCATCATGCTAGTCTAGGTCACAGCTTCCCATGTCATTTATTTTCTCTGAGTATCGTGGCAGCCCACCAGGTTTTTCTTGTATCCAGATCTCGATCTTTAGCCTGTTCTGCCAATGTAAACACTGCTGTTTTTTTAAATAATTCATTTCTTTTACTCGCGTATTATTGTAGGTCACCGTAATAAACAGTGACAGGTTGTCTGATAAAGAAGGTCGAGGGAGTGTTTACTCCACTCTGCGGTGTTGTACTGGGTCAGGTGAGGTGAAAGCTTTTGCCCTCTTGTGTATCTCCAGAGTGGATCTTTTGGCAACAAGTCTTGTTACAGGGAGTCATCCTTTATGTTCTACTCCCTGACTAAAGATTAGCCTTACAAAGCAGCTAACAGCGAGCAAACTCTTGGAGATTTCAGATGTAGAGTAAGTGAGTTACTGCTTGTAAGAATGGTGCATATTTCCAAACAAAATATATGTAAACCCACAATCCTAGAGCTACATTCTTGAAATGCTACTCAAACCCATTCCCTTTTCATAGCTGTCGTCACTTTAAAACCTCATTCTTACTGTCTTATTGCCAGGTGACTTTTCTTACTGCTGTGATAGGTCAGACAGGTTTGTATGGTTGACCAACTTCTATCACTAAATCAGGAATGAATATATTTTAAAACCCTTTAGATTTTCATCACTGCAGTTCTACTAAATACTAAATTCTTTTTCCTCAACTATCGTCGCCTCACTCGTCCGTGTCTCTCCCATGGTTTTTGCTACATGCAACGCTATGTTTCCTTTTCTTTCTACCGTCTTTTCGTATCTCTCATCTGACTGCACTGCAACTTCTCAATGTGTACTGCCTAGAATACACACATTTGACTGGCTGAGTCATGTGGGATGGCTCAACTCGTATGCAATTGGCCTGTGCGTTTCCCCATCCACAAAACGACTACCATAAAGACTATAAAAGCTGCGCCGGTTAAAATAGAAGCGCTCCGACAGATTTTAAATCGTAACCCTCTGTTTTTTCTGTAGGTCCGGGTCCGTATGAGACAGCTTCTGGGTCCGGACCCGGACCGCGGTCCACCTGTTAGTGACCCCTGCCTTAGAGGTTATACTGTAGATCAACACTGCTAAATAACCAGGTCTGTGTCCATAAAAATGTGTGAAACCGTGAGGTAACCATATGCTTTATATGGTTTAATGCCATTTCTATTGAAAACTCAAGTTTAAATTGATCCTTCGATCCGATGAAATTACCACATGCTCCAGCAGATGAGACTTTAAGTGCAGCTCAGCTCTTAAAAAGGCATATTTTAAGTAGAAGTCTTCAGAAATGTATGCATAGTGTAGCGGTTGACGTGCCTCTCTTGTAAGCAGAGAGTCCTGGGTTCGATTCCCAGAGGAACCACATATTCCTAATAGCGCCTCTGGTGCGGCAGCCTGAGTTGCATCCAAGTACTTAATAGTGCCTCCCTAGGCAGCCTGTGTCGGTTGGAAAGACTCACACTGGAAATCTTCCCGTTGTGGGACAAATAACTGATTTATTTATATTATTTTTTAATTTAAGCATGACTCCCGGGACTCTGCAGAACCAGAAGTTTGCTGTTTTTCTACTAGTGTTACTCACTAATAAAATATCCTCCTGAGTGGATAAAGTTGAAAGAATCCAAACCCCTACATGCTTACTCACCTACTTGTAATGCCTTTACGCCTGCGCAACAAGAGCTCACTGTTGGGCACATGAAAAGAAAAAAGAGAAAGAGGGAAGAGGAAATTTCTGTGTTTGTGTTTTAAGAACTATGACACATTGGATCTGACATATCTTGTGCCAGTGAATTTGAATTTGTTGGAAAGCTTTATTTGGATTTGGTCGCCACCCAAGCACAGTTAAATGTTGCTTCACCTCTTGAACGAACTGAACTCTTGGTGCAGCTTCAGTTTGACTTTGATGGTTTTGTGAAATCCTTTAGACGTGAGTTTCCTGTTCTGTCAACATTCCTTTTTTCTTTAATCCTCTATTTCTTCTCCAAAGCCACTGAACCCATGTTTGGTAATTGATTGCCTCACTGACCTTTAAACTGATAAAACACACATGACTGTTGGCGTGAACATCATGAGATTCTTCAAACCATCTCACATACAGACAAGGACTTCCATCACTACAACACTGTACTGGAGCCCCGTTAGTGTCTTAATGCTCTCACTGTACCAGCTCTCAGATCTCTAATGCTCTCACTGTACCAGCTCTCAGACATGTACATGTGCCTGAATGGTGGTCAGTATCCTCCAACAACAATGGAAGTGTTAGCGTTAGCAGCCATGACACTCATGCCACGAGTGTCACACTAAGCCACACCTCCTTAGTATGTGTGAACCACTCTGAATATTTTTGGACATACATTCCCATCACGTCCAATCACGGACTCTGAGTGTTTCAGAGAACCTTCTCAACTTACACCACCTCCTAAATATTACCTCACCTCTGACAGTAATGCTTTGAAGCCTTGGTTACAAGTTGTTTTGGATATCATGTGTGTGTGGGCTGGATAAAGACTGGACTGGAAGAAACAATATCAAAAAATGTGGTCTTCATTCTGCTATCTTTAAGTGAGATCATGAAGCTAAACTCTAACCATGATTTATTCCTGCTAATTATAGCTCAGTGGTCCAAGCTGTCATCCTAGCCATAGCAGTGACAGAAGGTGTTTTATAGCCCTGCATTTTTCCACCAGCTGTGCAGAATGTACTGCCGTGATTGCTTAAGGGGTTCTTGTCACAGAGGCAATTGATTCCATGTACAGCTACGACGGTTTCACAGCTCGACTGCAGCAAGATACAGTTTGCCACCACTGGTATTTCTGGAGCAGGAGAGCTCAGTTTCATCACGTGCACACTGTACACTATAGGCTCAGATTCATAAATGTTAAGCAGCCTGTTATGCACAGGTGGTTGCTAGCATGGAGAGCTGAGTAATGAAGTTCTGCTGCCAACTTGTTTGGGGTCTCTGAGTTCAGTTCAGTCGCCCCCACATCAGAGCTCTTTCCAGTTGATCCCCTCTTAAATGGTGCTCTTTTTAGTGGCCACCAAACAGACACAGTCAGCAGATCACTCACATGAGTCACAACCTTCATGTAAACTGGGACAACTGAGACAGTGATTGACATCACAGTCAGCACTGATGCTAAAAGGAGCAGTCCCACAGTTTTCATCAAATGATGTAGTTTAGAATTATTAAAAAGACGCCACTGATGTTTACCTGAGATCAGAGCTTGTATGGATGCTTGAAATCCTTGAAAATACCTGAATTTCAACGACATGTTTTCAAGGTTTAAGGACTGCTTTGATTTTAGATAGAATTCTTGGAATTTCAATCATATTTCCCAGTAGGTCAGGGGTCAGCAACCGGTACCGGGCCGCAGGTCATTTGGTTACGGGCCGCAGTGGTACACAGTGAAAAAATGGGTCAACTGATTTCCTTCATTCAGAGAGAATCCAGGCATATCCATTTACTCTGATCATTTAAAGTTAATCTGGCAATATTCCAAAATACTATGTCATTCAGATTCTGAGACTAACGAAATTAAAGTCTAAAAGAGTTTTTATTTTGAAAGTTAAGTTAATCTGGCAATATTTCAAAATACTATGTCATTCAGATTCTGAAACTAACGAAATTCTAAGTCTAAAAAAAAAGTCTAAAAGAGTTTTTATTTTGAAAACTTAATGACTCTTCAATGATTGGCCGTTTTCATTGTCATCCCGCCTGACAACACACCGTGTTGTTCTTTAAATAACGGTTGTTGACGGTTTGCAGTACTTTTTATCCTGGACTGGAGCGTATTGTGAGCAGTGAGTACGAGGTTGTCTTTATATGGTGATTGTGGATGTGTTTTTGTAAGACTTGTGTTTTTGGCCAGCGCTGTTGCTGTGGTAGGCAGCACTTAAATCTTGCAGCGCAGTATCTTGTGCCACCACACTGTTGTGAGATGGTCTCAGTATGAGATCACAAGTGAAGCCGTCCAATATCTGACTCCTACCAGTGTTGGTCCATTTGGTTTGTGTGTCTGTGTGCTTCAACCCTGCGTCTGACTATTGTGTAAGCTTGTGTCATTGTGTGTGCGCTCACATATTGGTGCAAATATCTTTTTTTGTGGGCCACTGCAGTGCTGGGAAAACATTCTCTCCCTGTGAGAACCATTCGTCAGACTCAGGGCATCTCAGCCATTTTGGCAGCAGAGTGAGATTTGCTCATGTGGTTTGAAAACAGTGCTTCATTGTAAGATATGAACGTGTAATTATTAAAGGAAGGGGGTGGGAGGTTGACTCAACATACTGTATTTATTACTGTGTTAACTCTGATACATAGATCCTAATATGTAAGAATAATCCTCGCTCCTTTTTCTTTCCTTCATGCTCTTCTTTAGGTCAACGAGTGGAATAAAAATGACGAGCGCCTGCTGGCGGCTGTTGAACACGGGGAGGTGGAGAAGGTGGCATCACTCCTTGCCAAGAAAGGTGCTAGTGCTGTGAAGCTGGACACTGAGGGCAAATCAGCGTAAGGACGTTTTTCTCTAATCTGTATTCTGATTTAATACAAACAAACACTTTATATTGACTGCAGTAAAAATGTGTATTTTCTGGTGACATATTAGGCAAAACATACTTGTGTCTCTGAGTCTGCCCACTCTCTGCTTAGTGTCAGGTTCTACAACTAAGTAGACCATTTAATAATCTACACAAACTGTATCTCAAAACGAGCCACTCTGACTTAACCCAGTTTGTAACGTCCCAGAGCTGTTGATTATAATAATCTCCTACCCTAGCTAACACGCTAACATGTCTGAGGATTGTTTGCTTTACTCAAACTGCCAAACTGTTATCACGTACAACCCAAACACTTAGCACAACACAGGAGGTCTTTAGTTGATGACATCCTCGAACTACACAGGGGGTCTTTAGTTGATGACATCCTCGAACTACAGCGTATCGTGGTTGCTTCATCTCGTCTTCATCACCCATAAATCTATTAAGAAAGTCTTGGTCCGTCATTGTGACGTGCAGCGTTAAAACACGCACATGAACAGAACTCCAATGTAAGTCACGCAATCCTTGTAGTTCATTTAGTGTTGTGCTAAATAAACTGCAGCTCTGTCACATAAACACTCGAGGCGCTATAAACGTGTTGTTATGTGTAACAACACGTTTATAGAGGGATGTGATGCTACAATGTTGGTTAGTCAACACGGGAATTTTAAAGTGATGATGAAGTAACAATCTTAACTAGTAACCACAACAGGATAGCTGAGGTTAGACTGGCTGGACGTTAGCCTGGAGGAGGAGGCCAGTCTCTCATTCATGAGTCAGGACTGAGCTCAGATAAACCAGGACAGTTGTGTCTGACAGGGCTTTTGTGCTGCCGTAACAAATATGGGAATTGTCCACTTCAAATATGATTGGATGTCTCAGCCCTGAGGAAGGAACAGTCAGAAGGATTGGCTGAACTAGTCATTGCTGGACTAAATATTGAACACCTTCTAAATCAAATTATCCACTGACATAGTTTCAACAGCAAGACATCAAATATGAGCCACATGGGAGAAACAGCCATAATTCAGTTTTACTGACGCAAAAATCAGAACCATGAAATATACTGCTGCCTGTTGGTTAATTTTACAAAGTACAACTAATATTATGATGTAGGACAGACATAAGAGCAGAAGAATCAACTTGCACCGAGTTCTTCAAGGTTTTGAGGCAGTGGAAATACTTTCATGCTCCGCAGCACCTTATTAAAAATGGATGGTTGATCTAAAAATATGCCAGACGCTCTTACTCCCATAAAGGACGATGTTTTGCAACCATTTCTTCAACCTCCATTTTGGCAGAAGCGGTTTTAGCTGGTCACCTCAGCGGCAGAGATCGTTGATAACAGCGTTAATATATTCGACCTCCTACTTTTTCTGCAACACAACACCCTCTGACCTCACAGTATGTAGCAGCTCACAGCCAAAGACATCAACACTCTCACACCAGTGTACAGCAAAAGAACGGTGTTGATTTTTTAAAGCTGTCTTTTTTTAATTCCACCATTAGTTTAGATCCTTGACCCTTTCACAGTGTTGACACAACACAAAAACCCACTCACAGAAATGTATATCCACGGTTTTAATATAAATCATGCTGAAAGCTGTAGCTGCAGTTCACAATGCTGCCATCTTTTCAGAGCTCACAAAGGAGAGGTCTACAGTATCTCTATGGTGATAAAACCTGGTTGAAAGGCATGTGGGCAAATTTGTGTGCGCGTTTGTGTGTGTGCACCAGAGGAAGGCTGGGCATGTGTGCTGTTCTAATTCTGCTTAGCTGAGCTGAAAAGGCTCTGCATTGATTGCCTACTGCCTACACACAGCATTCAGGGGGATTTTTTTGTATGAGAGGTTGAAATGCTGCAGTGACATTTCTGCACATGAGTCGGTGCTTTAGCGCCACCACTCACTCAGAACTGTGAGACTCTGAGAACAGGGTTAGACACTGAGAGCTGATAGTCTGTATTTATACAGTTTTTTCTACCTCTGAGGAGCGCTCCATCTACTTCTGCCATTGTGCGAGGCAGCAGACAGGAGCCAAATGCAGTACTCAGAAACTCTCTTCAAAGTGCAGAGAATAGATTTTCAAAATCCAAAATTCTTGCGGGAAAATTGAGAACCAGGAACACAGAAACAGGGGCAGGCAGAAATACTCACAGCCCCACTGAACACACAATAAACAATGGTCCCACAAAGAGAGTGAGGGAGGGAGGTATGTGTATACTCAGGACACCAGGTGACACTAGTGAGACTAATGAACAGAGGCACAGGTGAGAGTCATCACACTGATTACTCCACAGAACACAGGAGGAAAAAAGAGACAGACAGACCCCACATTGACTTTACTTTTACTGTAGGATTTGCAGGTTTTGCTGTTAATCTGCCACAGCTGCCATTGTCCACAAATACGGAATAGAACTTTTCTAGAAACAACCTTTTCTCCCACTGACAGGGATAGTTAAATTAAGAATATTTAGAGCTGGAGAAAAACATTTTGTATTTATAAATCAAACACAAGGGGTCCTCGACTCCACATACGTCAGTTTCTACACAGTGGCGTAACTCAATTTACATCAGTACCTATGTCACTCACCTACACTAACATGTGTACAATGTCTGGCATACAACCAGAGCTGCTCCACGCTTTGATTGACATGCATCGGAAGGATGGAGCAACTTTCTTAATAAAGTTATAATGTATCTACATTATAACTTTATAATTATAAATTATTACATTATAACATTATAACCGTCACCACCACCTGGTGCTGAAGGTCAAGGACCCCATGTAAAGTATTTATGATGACAGCTGCAGTTGTCCACCAGATATGTATTTCAGGGATTCATAATTGAGTGTGGTTAAAGTATTTATGCTCAGACCTGATGTTTCTTTTTTCTTTTTTTGTTCTTCTGCAGCCTTCATGTAGCAGCTGCACGTGGTCTGACTGACTGCCTGTCTGCCATCCTGACCCAAGGAGCTGACCTGTCAGTCACTGATGCTGCAGGTACTGTGTGTGACTGAGACGCTGGTTAATACACTGACAACCTGATTAAAGTGATAATAAATGAAGGCACATTTTTAGTAGTGTTTTTGTCACCAGCTTATTTGACTATTATTATTTCTTTTCCATTTCTACTCAGGTCTGAATTCATTACACCTGGCTGCCAAAAACAGTCACAACGACTGCTGTAGGAAACTCATTCAGGTAAGATGGACCAGGTGAAGGAGGATTGTCAAAGTAACAATGTGAGTCTCTCTCCTAACAAGGGCTCCTGTAAGACCACATGTTTGTAACCAGTGCCAGATATACACAGTGTGGTCGAGCAGTGTTTAAAGGCTAATGAAATACCCCACAGTGTTTGATTTAATAGAGTGGTTCTACAGTGTAGTGGCTTAGTCAAATATTTTCAAGATGTTCCGGACAACAAAAATATGTAACAAAAAATGCTGTAATGGCTCCGCATCAAGTCAGGCGTCAAGGTTTCTTATTGGACGTCTTCTCTCAGCACAGTGAATCAGGAATGTGTGGAAGCAGCAGCATTAACTGTGTGAAACCTGAACCTGAAAAGTTCTGCTAATGTGTTTGAGGCCAGTAAACTGTAGCGATTTACCTCAGTCCACAGTCTGATGAATGCGCACACGCATGTACACACAGCCACACCCACACACGACCTTGATCTGCTAACCTAACTGTCTCTTGACAGTCTCAAAAACACACCGTCTGCTCAGACGTCCATGCAGATTTAATGGTGCACAAAAGCACATTTACCACCCCCCCTTCTGTCCCCAGAGGCAGCTGCACTTTGGAGGAAGCTTCTGTTTAATGTGCTCGTGTGTCATCCACAAAAAATTGACCTAAATTTGCTCAAAAAGACTTAAGAAGCGTAAACTGCTAACTAAAAACTTAGTTTTAGATTCAATTCTGCCAAAAATAAGTAGCTAAAATTAATTATTTTAAATTGACAATTGCAATTTTAAGATGAAGTGTCACGATTGACTCGTCTCATGTTTTGAATTTTACAGTAGTAGTGTGAATAATCTTTTGTTGTACTATAGCATTTTCTCAGTTGTTTTATACATTTTACTGTCATACATTTTTAGTGGAGACACAATTTTAGTGTCGCCTGCTTATCTTCGTAAAATAACTTTTATTTCAAAGATAATGTGATGAAACCAAACTGAATGAGGGTCTGAAAATAAAGACAGTTTTGTCCTCTCTGGTCATGCGCTGTGATAGTTTCAAATGTGGTAAACATTTTTTTTATAACTCATTAGCCAATGTTAATGTTATCTTTTGTGTGCAGAGCAAATGTCCCATTGATACTGCGGACAGTTCTGGAAAAACTGCCCTGCATCACGCTGGTGAGTGGATTACGGTCTGAGAGTCAGCAACGACAAAAGTCCTATTGTTCAAGGCCGTTCTTAGACAGAAATGTGTGAAAAGATGATATTTACTGCAACGTCTGGTGAAGAAGTTGAATCTGTCAACAATACCAGAACTGAGGAATTAAATAGATTACATTGAATCCTGTGAGATTCCATGTAAATTTAAAATAGAATTAAATATGAATTAAATAGATTATATTGAATCCTGTGAGATTCCATGTAAATATCTTTTGTACCCTAAGGTCATCACTAGCAAACTGAATGTTTTTGGGTTTTTTTTACCTTAAATAAACACACACAGAGAGACTCCACAGTACACTAACATAATAACTGAACAAAGGACAAACAATTTGGGAGGAGCAGTTTAGTTATTACCAATGATGTTTGCCTATGATAACTTGCTGCTAACCAACAGCTTTGCAATTGAACTACTGTAGCATAAGCAGTAGATTTTGGGCAAACTCAAAGATTAGTGTTCTTACATTCTGACATTACCCTGTATTTACAAAGAATTTTGTGAATTCTAAATAGTTTTAATACAGGCTATTACATGTTTAAAACACATGCATACAACAGAGTAGTGCTAACAAATGTTAGCACTACTCTGTTGTACCTTTGTGTAACAAACGTTAGCACTACTCTGTTGTACCTTTGTGTTTCTCAGTCCAGAGGTTTTGCTAACATTTGGGTGATTTTCTGGTGATTATACACTGCTCCATCATTAGATGGCGCAAACTTTTACTGACAGGACTTTTAATGTTGACATTGTCTGTTAGTCAGATGAAGTTACCAAATTATTTCTAATCTCTGACAGTCATTTTAGTGTTACTCTCTTAAAAGCTTCTTTAGCTTCATCAGTTAAACTGACCCATGACTCAAGTATTGTTTTGTGAAAATCCCAGCAGGAAACAAAGGGGGGAAAAAAAATTCCTAATAATTCAGCCCATGTTCAAACTTAACCAAACGGGACTGTTTTTCTCCATTGTCTGACTGTTTGGTTTTGTTTTACCTCCAGCTGCCAGTGGGAACGTGCAGACCGTCCAACTGCTGTGTGAACTCAAAAGTCCCGTCAACCTAAAAGATTCAGTGAGTACTTTTATAATGACTTCCACCCTTTTGTTGTTCAGAGTCAGTTTTCCTGGCAGGACAGTAATGAACTCTGCGTCAGAGTAAAGATGCCAAAATTCATTCAAGAACTCACTTTCCCATCAGTTTCTATCATGGAGGAGACTTTTTTTCCAGTCTTTGTTGGATTTGGATAAAGTTAAGAATATCTGCCATCGATTTTAAATTTCTACTGAAAAAAATTCACATAACGCCAAGCTGTCTGCCACGGTGGAGGATCCTCTTCATCTGATCCTGTCTCTCATCTGTGTGTGTGTGTGTGTGTGTCAGACAGACAGACAGGAGTGTATATGTGATGTGCACGAAGGGGAATCAGAGGGTCAGTGTACTGTGGGAACTCTGTTCTCAGAGCTGCAGACATGTGGTCTCCATTGGAGAGATGCTCCATACCTGTGGTTTTTACCCAACTGGGGTTTGTTAGCATGACAGCGAGTGTGTGTGTGTGTGTGTGTGCACGCGTGTGTGATAAAAGAAAGAAAAGTGGTGAGTAAGAGAAAAGAATAGAGAGAAGAATGTGTTGCTTATTATTCTCCCTTTTATTATCAGGCCACAGCTGTGCTGTTGGAGATAAACACGTACTCACTCATTCTCCCAGCCGACATGCAAAGATGTTGTTAGTTAGTTAAATGTTTTGCACATTTGTTACTTGTTTTTTAAATCTTATTTTGTGGCCCTTTTTCGTCTAGTGGATTTTCTTTTGAACTCCTGGTCCAGTTGGACCGACTTCACAAAACCCATTTGTTTTTCCTTCATCAAACCATTAACACCTTTAATCAACGTCAATCTAAAGGAATTAAAGACACTGAGCACGTGCAGATAACTCACATTGGGTCGTGCTAGAATCTAAAAAAGACAATCAAGACTTTTGAAGATGTTGTCTTTGGTATCACGTGACTTTGAGGAAGAGACACTGGAGAGCAGAAAAGAGTGAGCACGTGTGTCGGCTCTCATTAAAATCATAGATGAAGAACATCACAGTCGTTGTGGAAAATATTACTGTAGAACATGCCAGCATGTTGGCCCGAGGCAGCGACTATACTTCAGCTACATCAGACTACAGTAAACACAGAGAAAGAAACAAAAAAGAAAGAAAGAAGAAAAATACCACTTGCCAGGTCTTACATTTGTCAGACAAGGAGTGTTTATAGAAAATCAGGTCCATGTAAACAGTGGGTCTGCTCAGAGATGTTAGTGCTCTGGGGGATAAAAGCTTCCTTATGTTTGCTGGTGGACAGACACATTTCTCTTCAACAAGAAAGAATTGAGGATTCTCATAAATCATAGCCACGGGCTTTCAGTGTTTAAGGAGCAGCTAAAACTTCTTAGATGTAGTACTGATGCAAATATGTGAGGTTCCTGTCCAGCGTTTGTAACTGTCTAAACTTAGGCGGTAGTTTTACATCATCCTAGACTTACATCAGATATATATACACACACAACTAGTTCTTGTGCAAATTTATTACGTGGCCACGTAGGTTGAGGAGGTCTTAAACCTGTGTTTACGTCCACCATCACCTACTGTCACATCAGCTCATGAACCCTCTTCTGTCCAACTCTGGAAACTCCAGCTTCAACATCTTGTATCCGATATCTCCACTGACTGTACTTCAATTTGACTTAATCTTCAAACTGTTCAACGTCCGCTCTCCCTCAGATCAGCTCTCCTCTCACCCTGTCCATTCTGGTCACTCCAATATAAACCTCTTCTTATTTTTATCTTCCATTTCCAGTTTAAACACCCACACTAGTTTCAGATGTTCCGTAACAAAAAAATCCAAAAACCAAAAAGACCACATGTCCAGTTGCACAATTAAATGGCATGGATAAAGTACTATACAGTTGTACTGCAGTACATGACTACTTGGTAAACAACGGGTTTATTTGTTAGATGATATTGACTCTGCTTTCATTGTTTGAACCAATGAGACGTTGCACAACATTTAGAGAAACGTGTAGTGTGGAATAGAGTAGTTCTCTGTAAACACACTTGGGACTTGTTGTGCAGCTTCTAGGTTTCAACATAAGTTGTTAGCATAACTTAGATAAGGCAGTTAAACAACATCAGCATTAATGCACCACTCATGGTCTCTCTCTCTCTCTCTCTCTCTCACACACACACACACACACATACACGAACTGAATCTATTACCATGATAAGAGAACAGGTTTCTTTTTGTATTAGATGCAGTAGAGACTCAGGTCTGTTCAGGTCTTTGACAGGAGTCACATGGACACAAAACTCCTTCATTTCAATGGAGCATGAAGCTACGCTAACCCAACAGTCCAAAAACAAGGCCTTAACCCATGGGTCAAATAAGTCTTTATGAAACAAAGACTTTGTTAGCTATAGTTGACATTAATCTACATTAGTGCATTATTATATAAATATAAAATACATATATTTATATACCGTATGCATATATATAGACAAATACATCTCCAATGATAAATATAACATTATATTTTCGAAGCAGACCCTCTGGTTGTTGCCTGAGCTCTTTGTAGGCAGCAGCTCGTTCACAGGCTGCACTCCCCCCACTGAAAGCCCAGCCAATCAAATGTCTTCTCTGCTCTGAGGTAATACAAGGTCAAGGTTATGTTAAGGGTTGTGCCGAGGGTTAGGATATGTCAATCATGGTGAAAAAAACCATATTTGTCCACGTTTCATGGAATTCTGACTGAGTCAGCCAACTCTGTGCACTGAACTCTTCTAAACCCTTTCATTTCTAACAGTAAATATGTAATTTTGAAGGGTTTTTTTTCTTTCCTGCTTTTATTCTTGGGCCACTGAAAGGAGGGGAACAAACTTTGGCATATTTGTTTGTAGGATGACAAACTGAAGTTAGACAGTAATGCATTGAATGTTTATTTTTTCACATGGACATGAGACTTGTCTCACCACACACACACACACACGCCTATCTAACCTAACTGATTTTCCTCCTCCCATCACACAAATTATGACTCATTGACTTGATATGTATTTTTTCCTCTTTGTGCCAAAGGATGGTTTCAGCCCTTTGCTGTTGGCAGCCAGAAACGCTCACGCTGACGTCTGCACTACTCTGCTGGACTGTGGTGCAGAAATCAATGCCTCTGACAACAGTGGCAGGTACAGACAAAACACAGACACATGGAACCCAGGAATGGCATTTAGGAGCAGTGATAGTGGTGTATACACACTGGGCTGCAGGTACAGGTTGTCAAACTGATCAATACTGCTGCTCCTGTCGTTGTAGAACGGCCCTGATGTTAGCCACTGAGGCTAACGCAGTGTCAGTGGTTGACGTTTTGCTTCAACAAAAAGCAAGTTTGTCAGTGACAGACTCTCAAGGTCAAGATGTCATGTACTACGCCAAACTGGCAGGTCACTCAGAGGTCAAGGCTGCCCTGATGGCCGCTCTTAACAAACAGCAAACTGCAGGTGAGTGTCGATAAAGAACCTAGTGTTGGGCATAAGCACACATGTTACACTTCCACACCTCCAAACAATGTTTGAAAAAGTGGTGTGAATTTCTTAAAGTCACTTTTTAGCACATTTACAACAATACTTATAAATATATTAAATAATTAAATGTGAATACTAAATGTTACAACTACATGTTAAATCAAAATATATATTATACGCGAGTGCTAGATCTATGCTAACTCTAAATGCTAAATATAAATGTAAATGTTAACCCTAGCATGCTAGCTAATATGCAAATGATATTTATTTTGGTACTTCCAGGCCTATTAGCTAAATATGTAGTTTAACCTGAAAGTATTTGGATTTAACATTTAGATTTATATTTAGCATTTAGATTTAACATTTAGTTGTAACATTTAATAGTTTTAACTATTTAATATATTAGTTAAGTTAACAAATATTGTTTTAAATGTGCTGAAACGTGACTAACAAAAATTCACACATTGTTTTTAAACATTAGGCTAAAACATAATGTTGCTATTATTGACAAACTGCGCCACATAGAGAATGAGAATACAGAATATAATCACTTCTCTGAGGAGCAATACTGTTTTGTTTTATTATTAATAATAATATTTTTACATGTAGGTAACACTGTCACCTGGAGGACATTACATGTAATTACAAAATAAAAAATGCCGCTTTTTTTTTTTTAAATATTTTTTTCAAGATTAATCAAGATACATTAAAAATCCCTAAACATTAAAACCTTTTTCTGTATATTGCTGGGACAGAAACCGCAGGTAGAGGCCTGGTTCACACCAAGCAGAGATGGTATTTTAGGATCGAGGTGCCAGTGCACTTCATTCTGCTTATCTCTTAAAATGAGTTAAACTTTTTAACCTAATTAATTTAACTTGATAAATTAGGGTGAGTAAGACATTTTCACAGCCCTAAAAGTGACATTCTAAAAGGAGAGAGACACAATGTTGTTTTTATGTTGTTGGTTTCTTTTTTCAGATGTTAAATCTCCCAGAAGTCCACTGGTAAGACACTTTTCATTCTTACTGACAAAGTGAAAAAGAAACTCTAAACCACATTGGCCAGCCTTTGACTAACCACCACTACATTTCACTTTCTCTTTCTTCACCTCTTCATCGTCTCCTTCTCCTCAGCATGATCAAGTAGCTAAGCAAAGTGATGAACGGAACACAACTCCCAAAAAACGAAAAGCACCTCCTCCTCCTATTAGCCCACTGCAGGTAAATGCATGACACTCTGTGTTCACATAGAGGTACTGCACTCGGTACGATAATGCATGTCAACAGTACAGTATGTTGGGTCAATATGTACAATACAGTACAACAACTGTGAGACTGTTGCTTATTCGGTTATTCGGCTAACCAGTAAAGAATTATTGTTAGAGAACATTTTTTTGTTGTTGTCATATTTTGTACTATCATAGTGTAAACAATCTATTGTCAGGGGGCAGTGATGTAAGTTGTTGACATTAAATTGTGCTTTATTGTACTGAAGTCAAAGTTGTTTCAACCACCACACCCACACCTTCCTCCTTCAGAGCCCTGGCCCCTCCTCTCCCTCACTGCTCACCTCCACTTCAACCCCTTTGACTGACAAAGGCGACACTCCAAAGAGGTTCAACTACAAGGTAAAGTACTAGCGGCGTTAGTATACATCCATTTTTTACTGTTAGTCTTCATTTGAATTCTGGGAAGAATACATTCTACTCATCGTCATCTGTGCCTGTACAAAGGCTACAGGTCATAATCTGTGCCTGTACAAAGGTTGCAGGTCACTATTGTGTTTGTGTGGAACACACAGACTATGATGTCTTTCGTCAGGTTGTCTCAAAATTATAACCAAATATATTCAGTTGACTGTCACAGTAAAGTTAAGGAACCAGAGCTGTTCATGTTGATGCAGAAATTACAGCCCCACTGTTTCAATCATTAAACAACCTCGATAACCATCAGTAGACTTGTCTCTACCAGAACTTCTAACTATTGAATTAGTGTTGGCAACATTAGAACATACCACGGTCTAGATCAGTGGTAATGAAAGACAGTGATCACTGGGACAGCAGACAGTCTCTTCACACTCGTCACATGTGTCTTTTATCATGATCTTCATTTGTCTGTTTTTGTCAGTTGATGAAGTGTCATAGCCCAAAGGTCCTCTTTCATTTCTTTCCTCTCCCTCTCTCCCTCTCTTTTCTTTCTAAAATTCTCCTCCTTCTCATCTTTTTCCTCTTCCCTCCTCCTTTCCTCCCCCCTCTCTCTCCTCCCCTTCCTCATTTCTAAGGAGGTTGAGGTTGAAGGAACAACTCTGAGAGACCAGGTGGAGAAGCTCCATGAGGAGAGAAACATGTTGTTGGACACCATTGAGGACTTGAAGCAGACAGTGACTGGTCCAGAGCTGGACACCAGGGTGAGTCTGACTAACAAGTGCTGTGTTTGTGCACAGGACGGAGACAGCGGAGGACAAGGACAGACATCATGACAAAGAAAGCAGGTTCAAAATATTCAGTAATGCGAGGGTTCAGGTTTGGAGAGGGAGACTAGTGACGAGTACAACATTCATGTATGGACATATAAACCTGACGAATGGACATTGGTTGTTCCTTCAGATTTAAGATTTTTTTAAAAGTTGGAATTTTCTTTCACTAAACCACAGCTCAATGTGGATTTTTCACTACAGAATTAAACTTTTTTTTTTAACAAAAACAACT